GAAGGACATTAAAGGAAGGGCAGAGAACAAATTAGGGAATGTGATATAATGAATAAGAGGGATGGAAAGAGTGGATGAGAAAACTGCAAGCTCATCAACTCATCTCAACTTTCACAGTAACATTATAAATAATTTATCAACAGTTAATTACCAATAATAAACAAATATTTAGACCAAATTTTCATTCCAAAATACATAAATAAATAAAAATTAATTTATCATTATTAAAAATAAAGTTAGAGATGAGATCTGAATAGGATATGGGTATATGTTACAAATTTTGAAATTTGTGCCGTTCCAGGCTGTCAAATGGTTAATAGACACATGTATATAAAATAGTAAATAAAAATAACCACTAATAAACATCCTGAACGAAAACAAGAAAAAATTGGGTCTAAATGAGAAGATATTTACAACAATGAGACATGAGGTATGAATATGTAGTTGTATAAGACATGTTTGAAAATGTAACTAATATATGTGATGACAAATGAATACAAACATTTTACAACATCGATAAAGAAATTTTTATTCTGCAATGTATTTTCGGATAAAAATGGGTCCACAAATGTGTACGTTATTGATAATTAACTGTTCATGAACTAGCATATTGCATTCTACCATTATACAATATAAAATATATATTTACATTAAAAAAATAGAAAACCAATTTACAGGTGAAAAAGTAAAGTAATTGTTATAAAAAATTATAGTAATTATAATAATGATAGTAATGGTTATTGGCAATACAAATGATTCCTGTTATATGTATCGTATTTATATTGATGATGTATTTGTCAAGTAAATGATATGTTAAATAACCTTTAAAAGAAGAAAAATATTTTGTTAACTCTAAGGAAAAATATAATAGCTCTAAGCGAGTAAATATATTACGTAAATGTTCAGGTTTAGCATGAATCATTCCCTTCCTAATCCTAATGCTGTAATATATGGTGACAGCACTCGCGAATATTATGAGTAAAAAGATATACAGAACCGAATTACATTCTTTAGTGACATTAACATAAATTTCACAAATATGAAAATTTACGGTCCTCTTTAAATAAATAAGGTATTTTTTTGAATTAGCGAAACATGGAATGTAGAAATATTGATATATCTTTGGTTTGAAATTCGATTTAGTTTCAAAACTAAATGAATTTTTTTTATCCATCAGAATGTTATATTACTCAAAAAATAAAGTTTAATTGTCAAAAAAAAATTTATTTATATACAAAAATTACACAGAAAACGAAAAATACCATAATTTTCCTGAGTATTTAACGTAATTAAAATAAAAATTCTCAAATATCTACGTATGTTATAGTTTCAACAGTCATGGTATCTATAAATTTAGTAATTGGAATTTGTAGCTGATTCCAGACTTTCTTAAGAGTTTTATGAGGAAACTGGAGAACACTACGTGTTCTAAACATTAGTTTAATGTTAAGGCAACATGATTCTGGCGCGGTAAGTTGGATCTATACAATCTACCAGAGAGATTTTGGAATTTGAGCAGAAGAAACATCAAATGTTTTACATTACAAACCTGTACTTAGAATTCAACATGGAAATTTAGCCCCAAGGGGTGACCTAATAATTTAGCAAGCCCCAATAAGCATGGCGACTAATTATGTAACTTGAAGGGAGAAAATATGATAGCGTTCGTTTCAATATTAGAGATCTCGCGAATTTCCAGGACGAGGCCATGGTTCAAGGATTGATTTAATGCTTCACGGGAAATGGAAAGGATCGGCCTATTTTAGTCAGGAAATTACAACCAGGCTCGAAGGGAAATTTAATATTTAAAATTTTATTATTTCAAGCTGGGGATATTTTTTTTTTCAATTAACATAAATTTAATTTAGTTTTTTTTTCAGCGAATGAAGAATGGTGTCGAAATAGGATAATCAAAATAAATCCCATCAAATCACATTTACCCTTCATCGTAAACCTACTCCATTCTGTTCTATAGTATTATTTAACAATAATCCACTTACCCATGTCGAACAAATCCGTTACTTAGGACTTACTTTGAATACTCGTGCAAGACTGAAAATAAAATAAACTGCTCGTAGATTCCGATTATTTCAATAGCTACTTGACTAACGCACTAAACTTCCAATATTCCACAAAAACAATACCACAATCAGGCCCATTTAAACATTGAGCATTGAGATTCACGAAATTATCCGATTCTTCACAAATCCAATCTCTACAATGCAAAATTCTCCGTAGAATTCTTAATTTTTCTAAAAATAAATAAAATTAAATACTTCCACATCCTCTTTGTTACAGATTCGGTCCGATTAAGATATTCCTCTTTTAATTCCAAACTCCTTCTAGATCATAATCTTTCACCCGAGACAATTCCTGATAACACTCCGAACAGAGATGACCGAGGGACTTCCTAAATCAATCTAGTCATCGAATTGCTACCAAGGGGTAGAATCTTCACAAGTTTCAGTCATGAGACATATTCTTAAAACAAATTTACTTGTTGTAAATTTTAATAGATGAATAATAAAAAATAGAAATGTTTCAAGTTAACTCACACCTGTCAGAAATATTGAAAATCAGTTGAATATGGAGTAAGGCATTGATAGACGTGTGGGTGAGGAGTATACAATCATTATCTGATAATAAGTCTTTAAAAAATAATTTGAAGCCATGATATGCGACGCCTCACAGATTGACCATTCAGACAAAAAAAAAAAAACAAAAAAAAAACGCGAATCCAAAATTTTGAAAATAATTTTTCAGAAAATAATAATTAGCTCTATGGTACGTAAACAAGAAAAATATATATACCTAGTTTCAATAACCAACTACCCACTAACATATTTTTAATCTTTACTCCCGATTTCACATTAAACAACTCAGTCACAACAGATTTATGATGTGTTGTATGACATGGGATCGGTTGATATGCCTATCAAGAGGGGACTGTAAAGGAGTTGGATGAGAGATCTCTTTTCCTGAATCAGATAGAAACGAACGAAGAGACGCTGCTGGATTTATCCTTCCTCATGCCTAAAATGCCATTTTTCAAATTGAACAACAACAAATATCTATTTATTTTCACATTCATGATAGGTTTGAATGAAGACTTGGAGAGAAAACATGTATATCGAAATTTTGTATCCTTCACAAACATCGCAGACTAACAACCAAGGCTCATTAATCTTTAATTTATTACACATGTTCAGTTAAATATGAAACCATAGGAAACCAATAACTATTTTCGCATTTAAAAAAGGATATACTATTTGGGAAAAATATACTATTTTACACATTATTAAAACTAAGAAATTAATCTAGCTACCTTGGATTTGATAGAATAATCCTATTGGCAGTGCGGTGTAGCCCTTACATGGAGAATATAGAGAAGATTGTGGGATCAACACGTGTAAGCGGAAGCCGCAACCCCAGCCAACACTCGACTTCCTTTGTCACTCATAACAGTTTTCCAACAAATTAGATTCACTAAACAATATTTTTATAACTGAATTTTATCAAATTTCCAATAAAAAGTAAAATATAAATCTCCATAATACTTTTTCTTTTTTAAATCTACTAAAATGTTGACTGACCACCTACGAATTATCCGATAATATTCGTAACTGACAGTAATCGCCTAGGATACTTATTACAATTGATATCGTAGTTAGGGCATGTGCCATATGTTTAAAACTAAAATAAAAATTGTAGTGTGTTTTCATAATTAGTATGTATTTTTGATTTTATTTTTGGAACTCATCAATTCTTTATTAAGAAATATATTTTTTTTTCATTGATGTTTACAACTGTGTTATAAAAAAATACATCTAGTAAATGTGCACGCAGTAATAATACAATGACATGAAAACGCTTGTTGAGAAACTACCCATTGGTAGCACTCTAATAATATATTTACATAAATAGATCACGAAGCCATCATCTTTTCAGACGCCTCAGACGGTTATCAGGGATCGAGGAAGAAACAAGATTTGAAACAAGAGGGTTCGGATGGTTCTGGAGTTTGTTATGGAAGGATAGGTATCTGGATTGGACCAAATCGGAAACATATGGATGATTTCATTTGTGACAAAGTAAGAAGCATTGAGGATTTTACGAAGGAATTTGGATTATAAGGATTTGATACGAGAGGAATTCGATGGTTTTTGAGAAATATTAAATTCTGTCACATTCAAGGACACTAGTAAAATCATTCTCACTCAATGTACAATAAATAAAACAGCAATATTAATAATAATACTAAAAAGTAAATTTATATAAACAAGAGAAACTAAACTAATTAAAATGACAACGTAACTTAGGAACGTACTTATATAAAATTAGTTAGTATGTATTAAAATTTGGATGTTTAGTAAAATTTTATAATAAATCCATTCGCTTTTCTTTAAAAAGAATGGAAGTAACGTAATTAATATGACAAAGAACGTTTTTTTTTTTAAATTTTGTTTTAGTTAGGACGATGTTGTCTAGTAAACACAAATAGTGTTTTGTCTTACTTTTTCTGGCACGTTGAATTTTAAACTTTGTGAATGCATATAAAGATCATTTTTGTACTTGTAGATTTACATGCTTTTAATTTCCTGAAGTATTTTATGGAAATTTCATAAACTTCAGTTTACGAGAAAATTTCAGTTTCTTCTATTGCATAATTATATTGATATTTATTATCAGTAGTATATTTATAGTATTTATGATTGTAAAATATTTATAGCACTTTTCGAATTATCGAAGATATTTCTTTGGATGGAAAAAAAAAAAAACTAAGCACCAGAAGTAGGTGTTCTTTGAGCCTCGGGGACCGGAGTAAATTGCCCTTTTTTCTCAGCGTTATGTCCTGACACACACCTCTAGGAAGAAACAAGAAAATAAGAAAGACCTTACCGATAGTCTAAATATCTAGGTCATCGCAGATATACAAACTACAAATACATATGGAGTCGAAGATACTAGATAACAAATTACAATTTTTTTGTCAATCACTCATGCTCATTTCTTGGGCAGTAGGGCAGGTTGCCAGCTGTGTTAAAATGTCTTTTTATAATGTAAGTCTTTTTAGAATATTCCCTCAAAGAGTAGAACGGAAACTTTTCAGTCATTTAAGAATGGAGGTCTACGTTAATCTCCCCAGTCAGAAAAAGGGACACATCTTTCTCCCAGAACCACTCAAGATAGGCAGAAGAAGGAGGGTAGCGCGGAACAAGTGGAAATAAATAAGGGAAGCTTCAATCAATTAGTCGCTAGGAGTTTTATTTGGTCTCTTTGGGGAATATATACCCCTCATTCCCCCAGGCCTGGGGGCGGGGCCTGCCAGAGGAGGGGGATTAGTGGGGAGCAGGGAGGATCACCAGTTTTTAAATTAAGCCCCCTCCCTCTTAGATATTTACTAGCTTCTGTCCACAGAGCAGGTATTGGCCCGGTCCTTGGACCTGAAGACGATTGAAGCCTCACTCACTCTTCCTTACTTTATCTATATATAAACTGAGAAACAGTGAGTGTATATATATATATATATATACACTTATATAACAGATTCCATTTCAAAGGCAAAGACATGTCATTTTCAGAATGCTGAGAATAAGCGAAATTTTTATCATACTTTCAATAGTAGCTGATATCAAAGCTGATACGCTTTCCATAATTAAACTAAAATATTCTTTAAAAAAGAAGAATAACATTATAACTGATTCGTAATTAAGCTACAGAAGATTGGCTTTCTCTTAAGTTTCTGAAAATAACTGTATTTCGCGTTTCTGATAAACATACACATTATAAAGATGAAACATAAAATCACTGTTACATTTAATATTTCTCTAATTTTATCCATATAAAATAAATTCTCGAAATATAAATTAAAAAAAAAAAAAGTTAAATATTCAGGTCGATACTTTTACTATACAAATAAATAATGAAATGAACCATAATGGGACAAAAATGACGACATGCCAAAAATTAAAATTTTCAACATTTATATATATCTGTGCATCTATGCAAGGATGTGTGAGGTTTCATATTAAAGACAGAGACCTGTAATTTTCAGAAAGAATTTTTTTTATATAAATTGCATTTAAAACTAATTCTAATAGGATTTTCATTATTTTTTTAAAATTTGTATCGTTAAATATTTCGATCGATAAATTGTATTTTTTAAGCAAATAAATAAAAAGACATCTCAAAGCTGGATGAAATGGCTAATAGTTGTCAACATTTAAATTAAGTGTGTAAAATGCTAGGATAAAGCCAGTTTTAATATATGGCTGTGAGACCTGGACATTAACCAGCACCATATACAAAAAAGTATTGAAAGATTCGAGAGGAAAATCCTACGCAAGATAACGGGACCGATCTAGGATCTAACACATAGATAATAAAGAACAGCTTACAGAAACTGGCCAATCAAGATCCCATGATATGAAGGCACGGAGGTTATAATCGGCGGGGCATGTAGCTAGTAGCAATCCATTTGGAAGTCTCTACTTAACAGTGAATGCCTCAACAGAAGGCCAAAGACCAAGAGAAAGGCCAAAAAGCAGATTGATAGATAGAATCAACGAAGATGTAATGCAGCTATGTGCAGATAGCTGTAAAGAAATAGCCCGAGACAGGCAGAGGTTGAGCAGGATTGAATGAAACCAAAGGAATAAAAAAAAAAAATTATTGAATTGAGCTGAGGATATAGCTCAATAGGAAAAGTAAAACGGAAAACCCTCAATAATTGATTTAAGGAGGATTCCAGTAATTTATATATCAGGCTTGAGGAGTCTTAAATAGCCAATTGGTCCCGAATTAAATGCTCTGATTTATTATTCCCCAAGCTTTAAATTGTTAACGATCATTGTTTATAACAGATTATTCGGGATAGTCATAATGTGTAACGATCTCGCAATATTTTTTTTTTGTGAATACTAAAAAATCTAATATGCTAAAAAAGTAATATGCATACTAAACTCGATATCAGTTTGATAAATTTCAATACCAACCATTGTACTGCACATTCGATTGTTTATTTTATTTTTTTTTTTTTATCCTTCTTATATCTAGGTGAATATCTTATGAAATTCACACTTCTACTCCTGCGATGCAATCAGCTAATATGTAGAGTTAAAGACAAATAAAATGCTCGGAGCGGATACAGATCAACACACTGTAATGAAGGGGTGCATTATATTAAACCCGCAACACAATAATGTCGTGCTGGAGTGTTTTTGAACCGCCGTACTCCGTTTATTTTATAACATAATTTTTTCCTGATTTTTCTCTTCACACCTGTACTTGATTTATTTTATATCACCTATATCTTCATATTCGATTTACACGCGTTTAGCTGGACCTTCACCGTGATTTCCTGCTTCTGAATTTGGAAACCATTAACAATTTTTTTCAGTTCTGACGCAGTGTAGTTCCAGCTCATTTATAATAATCATTTAAATTGAATGATTGCGAGCATCTTTTAATTTATATCAATACTCTAATGAAATCAAGAAGTACGACTGAGAAGTAAGACGAAAATTTACAATAATATTTGCCTGGACATTCAAGCAAAGTATTAGAACCTGTCCTGTGTTCGACATAAAGTACGAAGATTCCCTGGATAAAATCTTAAACTATTCTATAGAATTTAGAATTTCTATGATAATATAATTGTAATTATGATCAACTAGGGACCTTCCAGAGGAAGAAGTCAAGGAAAAGAAACGGGTTGTGTAGTTAGTCTTAATGACTAATGAAATCGATTTAGTTTTTCTTCTAGACATAAAAAAGTAAGCATTCCACGTTAATAAAACTAAAAGCTATGACACTTTGCGTGGAATTATTTATAGTTCAGCTTAAGTAAGAATACAACTTTAAGAAGCGTTGTGAATAATTTACAAATTTTCTAACTTATTAAAAACTAAAACAAGTTGAAGAACTTTTGCCATCACATCAGTAACTCATGGTTAAGCGGACGCTCAAGAGGTTTTAAATAAACTTCATAATTAGGTTTAATTACGACTCTTCAAATTTGTGTACATTTTTTATTTACTTTATATAAAGTTAAACTATAGCAAATAAGATTTTCTACCATAATTGAATCTTTTAGAGACGTAAAAAAAAAAAAACTTTTCAAAGGCAAAAATACGAGTTTTAATTTATTATACCATATACCCTAGGCAATGTGTGCCCTATGATACATTAAAATAAGAAGGCAGATTTTAGTAAATAACTACTTCAAAAATTATTGTATCAATTTTAATTTACAGTTTCAAGTTCAATTATTGCTAGAACCATTTTTTTTAGGATTAAAAAGTAAGTAAAGAACATACAGGAGGATACAAGAAGTTGGATACTATAAGTTATTAATAGCCGCGTATCCACTGTTTTTGTTGATTACACTGTTATGAAAAAAAAACACTCCCTGGAGAAATATTTTCCTGATTTTTATATTTTATGTGTGTTGAGTTCGAATGTGAACTCGAAAATTTCTATCAGGCACCATTTTCGAGAAAGTTTTTGTTACTTAACTTATTTTCTTGTGAATAATAATGATAATATATAAAATATTTAACCCTGAACGAAATATGACTTTATGGCTACCTAGTCAGTGTGTATATTTTTTCATTTTATAGTGCTAATTAGCTACCTCCCGTTGGAGTGTCCAACAGTGGTCAGCACAAGCATCTTCTCATTGCATATAACGCTATAATTCTTCTCCATTTGGGCTTTATCTCAATGAAACCGCTCTCTGTATTGACTTGAAACTGCCCCCAAGTTGAAAGGAAAGAAATGCAAATGAGAGTGCAAAACATTTTTAATGACATGTTGTATATAACCCACAGACTTGTATGATAAAACCAATTCTTTAACAACATCTTAGCAATTTGTACCCCAAAAATAGATGACACACAATTTCCTTTCAAGTTCGCTTTTTTCAGTTTTATTTATTTTTTCTTTGAATTTCAGGTCTGTAAACAGAGCGCAAATATGTGGCTAAAATTCTTCTTGAAGCAAAACACTTGAGCTATCGGATTTTTTTCATGTTTACAACACTTTGTAATAGCTACTAATTTCTAATATTATCTAATAATTTCGTTCACTTTTCGTTGAAGTTTTCAATTATACAAAAATTTTCAAAATATTGATAAACACCTTATTTTTTGACGCACGACACAAATTTGACATGAAATGGTGAATGATAGAAATTTTCTGCCTTCGGATTCAGCATACTTCAAAACATGAAAAAAAAAATCTGTTGAAGTTGAAGGGAGGATTTTGATACAGAAGTATAATGGATGTTAAATATATCTTTAAAAAAATCTTAATTTATTTAACTCATTATTCTAATATTAAATCTTTGATTATTTTGTATGTGAAATTTTGTTTTCCTTTCATTCTGAGTTATTTAATATAACTTTCCTTTACCTTCTTTATGCAACCTTCTGCAGTTGGTATTAGGATGACTGGGTGAGATTTCTCTAGTTAATGTATTCTTTTTTCCTCTTTTTTTTTTTCTTTTATGTGATCTTGTTTTTACTGTTCTGGTGATGCCTGAATTAGAAACTTTATGGTTTGGGTTTTTTTCATTTATGACCTTATAAATTTTATTATTGAAGGAAGTTTGTCGACTGTTTTACATACCATAAGTGATATATAGTTAGGACGCAATCATTTTAAGATTTTTATTATTGCCGACGTTTCAATCCAAACATATGGATCATCATAAAAACATATTACCAGCACAAAATTTGGATACCGCGAGTAATTAAGCTTGATTATCTAAACACTTTCAGTGTTGGTAACATTCTCAGCTAATATGATCCACATGTGTGAGTTGAAACATCCACAACAATAAAAAATTTAAAATGACAGCGTCCTGACTAAAATGATCACCCGCTATAAATTAAATTGTAATAATTATGTTGATGGCCATTTTTAAATTGGAAACTAAGATGAACCAAAAAGCTTTGACATATTATTGATAAATTAGTCCTATAAAACAGCAGGATATCGAATGTACACTTTTTAAAAATAAAAATGATCCATATAATATATCTAATGGTTTTTTTTTTTTTTTTATCTTACTGTTATTAATATAGGTCATCATACTAAATCACCGGGCTGGATATTGCAGGAGGAGGGGGGGGAGGAGAATCAAACAGCGTTTATCGACCGAGCGGAAGGATCGGCGGTGCTGACCGGATATGGGCATCAATTTGGGCCGGATATTGAAGGATATCAATCAGGAGGATTAGCGATCGCCATGGCTTCACAGATATCTGGCGCTTATAAATTAGCGGCACCGTGGGCTAATGGTTCAGAAATTAATTAACTCTATTTGGCGAGGTTGGGCCTAGTCCGGGTCATTCTAAAACGGCTCGGTGTAATTCGGCGTAGATGGAAATCGAGCCGGATAATGCGATACTTAGCGATACACACGCTAAATGTAACCGCGGTGGGAGGGGGGAATGATGGACGAACCGCAGAGAGGTAAATTACTTTGTGGTCCCCCGCACCTGATATACCCATTTCCTACAATGATTGAATTAAATAGTTACCCTTTAGCATCAAATATAATATATTCTAAAATTTATATAAAAATTAAATAAAGTATATTATCAGTGTAACAGGTAGTGTGGTAGTTCAATAGTAAGGCGCTAACTTCCAATTCTCAAGGTCACAGTTTCGAATCCAGCTGAGGGCAGATAAATTATTTTTTCTGTTTCGTCAACCGAACATTGACCACCTGGAATCGGGAGACCATCCTGAGGCCCACCCAGCCTTTCTAAACTGGTACCCTTAGTTAAAGGAGAAAACCTGAGGGTTGAGCTTGATATCGGTCAAATCACGTACTTGCACAATGGTGACCATTGGTTGTAGAGACACCTGGTTTTATAATTGAAACAAAAACAACGTAAAACACTGTTAAACAAGTAATAAGCAAATAAATGCAATTTCAACATACATTATACATTAATAAAGTTTATTACGAATATGTTAACTTAAAAAAAAATATAAAACATAAAATATTAAATAATTTATTGGAATACCTCACGAAAAATAAAAGATTCTATGTTTATTTATTTTTTATATAGGATTAACTGCAAAATGGGCAAAGATTTCGGTGATATCTTTATAGAAGGGAATATGTTTGAACACCTAGAGAAGTTTAAACATCTATGGTCTACGATAACTAGAAAAAAATATATTGAAGAGATGATTAAGGTTAGGGTGAAGGGGGAAAATGCGAATTTCAATAAAAAAAAAATACAAGATATTTCGCATAAGTAAATCCCAAAAATTTTATTCAGGCACGACCCACACTATGAATTATTAATGATTCAATTATTGTTTTCATAAATACTATATTTATGCATTTGTAAAAACAAAATAATTTATATTCGTTTTTGCCTTTAGTTATATGAATATATTGTGTTATTGTGCTTATCTGTAAAATCATACAGGGAACAAAATATTGTGAATTTATTATCTATAAGTGAATTAATAAATGAATACAAGTAGTTGTGAATTTACTATCTAGCATTACACTGCACTTACTTAATAATTGAGTACTTGAGCATAATAAAAAAATCCTTAAATTTGAGCCTTAATACAATTCAACTGATAAAAAACCTATGTAACATTGAGATTCCACTTTTTAAATAATAAAAAAAAATTTACATTTAGTTAAAATCTATAAGAACTACAGTGTGTCATGGTGGTGACTGGAGGGGGGCGTGGTTGAGTCCGCAGTGCCGTGACGTATACCACTGCCAAACACGATGATATCAAACATCTCTTAGTAGCCCTACCTCTATAAGCATGCATTTATAAACGGTAATAAAATATATTTTTCGTCATGACCATTTTTATTGAAAAGAAACAGACTAACAGAAAAAACGGATTTTTTCTTGGAAAAAAGTTTTGAAAATGGGAATACTATTTTAAGCTAAACGATATGGAGTATGCGTTGGGATGGCATGACGTGCCATCTTTCGTGACGTAACTTTGTCCATACCACTGTTTTTAACGACAATTATCTTTGCAAATAGCCACCGAAAAAATTCGAAACTGTGCGATTTTATTGTTATAAACGTACCACATAGGCTTTCCAAATGACTTCTGAAGCATTATTATTTGAAATGGCTCTTTCGATGATAGACTGTTTCCGTTCATTTGGGAATAAAATTCGATAATAATATCACAAACATGCCGCAGAGGTAAGTAAACCCTCCACGGCGTGGACACACACACACTTTCAAAGAAGAATCTCGAATGAGGGGCTCATCAGCTATGCACCGGAATTACGAGGTCGGTTAATAAACTGGACGTATAAGCTGCCCGATCAAAGACCCGGCCCTCAATGAGGGTGTTTACTTGAATATTAATAGGAATTATAACTCCAAGGCCTGCCAACAGATCCTTTCAGTCCTGCGGATCAGGGCTCAACCTTTTGCCTTAATAAACATTAATCACGGTCCTTTTGCTTTGAATACTTAAATTAAACTTTTAAAATTTTATTCGCTGTTAAAAAGTGGAAAACCTATTATAAAATCATTTAGGTAACTATGTTTCGAATCTATAAAATTTTATATGTACGTGATGTAATAATTAGGTTAGGAAGAGAGAGGAGAGAATATGAGGAGTAGGAAAAATGTATAAGGGGAGAGAAGGAAGTGAAAGGGATATAGAATGATAATAAATGAATGAAATAAATAGTAAAAAAAAAAAAAAAAGACAAAGACAAAAAAATAAATAAAAAAGCAAAAAATATACAAAAAAATTTTAAAAAATAATATATATATATATATATATATATATATATATATATTTTGTTTACTATGCTTATACATATTGTTAATCCTATATAATTGTATATTTATTTTTTTTATTAATTTGCTCTACAGTTCTTAATGGAGCTGGGCGTCAGAAACAAGCTTCCGCCAGGCTTCCCTATCGGCAGTTATTCTTCTCCATCTTCTGATACCCAGCGGCTGAGGTCCTCCTCCACGTCGTTGATCCACCGCAGCCGGGTCTTCCTCTAAGACCTCCTGGTTGGTTATAGAGAAGTTTCCTAGGCAACCTATTCTCCTCCATTCTCTCTACGTGGCCTAGCCATCTGAGCCGGCTCCTTTTGACAGTGGCTTTCATCATCATTTTTAAACAGCTCATAGAGCTCGTCATTTTTCCGTATTCGCCATTGGTCATTTATTTTCTTCGGACCGAATATTTTCCTTAGGACTTTTTCCTCCCAGATTATCAGCGACCACTCACTTTCCTGTGTCAGAACCCACGTTTCACACCCGTAGGTAACGACTGGCCTTATAATGGTTTTATAAATTGTTACTTTACTTTATGATTGTATATTAGTTTTAAAAAATTGTCGGTAGAGATTAATAAGTATGCTGTGTTTTTAGCAACCGAATGTAATTGGGTAACATCTTTTTATGATAATAAAGTGATTTTCTCTGTATATATTTGGAAGAAAGCAAAAGCCGGATTTTTTAAAGTTTATTTCTTGAAATTTACAACTGGATTCATACAATACGACGAATGAAAGTGAGAAAAGCATACAATAAAAACATAACTTGTAAAGGCACTACTCATTGGTAGAAATAACCTTTAAAAGTTAGTTGCTATCGCGGCCATCTTCTTTTTACATGCTTTGGAATGTTACAGAGAATGAATTTGATTGATGAGTGTCAAATATTCAGGACGCAGTCTTTTTACATTTTTTATTTATGCCAACGTTTTAATCCATGTGGGTCATCTTCAGGAATGAAAATTGTTTTAAAAATACAATTACAGATATAATAGTATACGACCGATGATGATAAATAAATATTTCAATACACATATTAAAAGTGAAATATGTAAATAGTTATACAAAATTAAAATAAATTAATTTACATATTTCACTTTTAATATGTGTATTGCAACATTAGTTAAGATTCGTGTACAATCAATCACTATAGTTTATTATTTATCATTATCGGTCGTATACTATTTTATCTCTGATTGTATTTTTTTTTTTTTTAAATCAGCCCTGAAGATGACCCACATGTTTGGGTTGAAACGTTGGCATAAATAAAAAAATTAAAAAGACTGTGTCCTGGATATTTATCACCCATGATATGTAAAACAGTCGACTAACTTGCTTCAAGAATTTGATTACTAATAATAAAACACTATCTTTATTCAGGAACAAGTTTCTTTTGAATAACTCTTTTTGTTTTAGATCCTCAGAATAACAAAATAAAAAAGAACAATAAACAGATAAAAAAAAGTGTGATACCACACGAGCTTATGAAAAACACGTATAATCAAATATAATAACGTATATTTTCGATGAGTATGTCCATATAGGTTTTAGTACTTATGTTTATATATTTATTTTTTGTCTCTATTTTAGTTTTGAGGTTTTGGAGAAAAGTAGGTAAAGTTGTTTGGTTCGTTTCATTTTAACTTGAAGGCTTTATGCCATCTCTCTGGCGAAGGTAAGTATAAGGTGAAGTATCGTGTCCGTATAAGGAATTTGGTTGTTGCCAAAATGGGTTATATTGAATGGGCTATGGAAATGGGTTCAATTGTTTGCTAAATTTAGTTTTGTATCGATTTTTTTTGTACGATAGATTAGTTAATAATTCATGGAAAAACTCTCACAGCGTATATTTCACCAGTAACAGACACCCAGATTTTGGGATAACAGGTTTCTTATATAATTAAAAAAAAACTATCAATATTAAACTAAGAAATGGCTAATTGCAGATTAGGGAATCAAAATTTCAAACTTATCAAAGCACAGTGTCTAATTCTAGCACACTTACCTTATCTGTTAGAAAAGTAAATATTATATGTTTGAATTTATCATGATTCAGTCAAATATTTAAAATGACATATTTTAGTTGTTGATTACATTTATATTCTAATTTTTAATAATTTGATATTCCTAGTTGCAATACTGTGTTCATTAGTGTTTTCCATATTGAAAAGCTTTAAAAGCTACGATATAGAGAATTATTAATGCGACGAATCTGACGTTATGAATAATTCATTTGGGAGAAAAAATACGGCAACGATTCAGAATAATTATTTCAAAAATGAAATTAGAGATTGCTATTATAGCTGCAAACTAAGCTTTCTACAAAAAATATATAATTGAGAAGAAAGAAAAAGTGAATTAAAAGTTGATCACTGAATGGGGGCCAGATAGGAATACAAACCTAATTGAGGTGCCATCATCCACCGCCATGATTGGGTGGCGGTTTCAATCTAAAAATCCGCCCCGCTCCAGATAGGAAAAATATTGCATTACACAATTCCCAAATGAACTTTTGCCCCTGGTTGTTGCTCCATAAGGTTCGTCCCTCTAAAAATATCGTTATTCGTATCCATTGATATAATATTGCAAAATATATATATTTTATGATGGTTTTTTTAATAATATGTGAGCAAAAAAAAGTTCTGAAAAGCCTAGGACTTAAATAGAAACACTTTTCACCAGATATTGATTAAGGAATTATGTTATTTGTTTGTTTGTTTCGATGTCTAGCTGGAAAACATCCAGGTCATCAGCGCCCGATCAACTAAACAACACCGGTTTTATACTGTTTGGATGGTTGGTACAAAAAATAAGAATGAAAAAAAAGGATAAAAATAA